TTAACGTGATGCAATTTTATAATGACGAGTTAATGAAAGAAACAATATTGAAATTATTGAGATTTGAGCTACTAAACTCGAGGGAATGATACTGAGAATTGTTGGAGAGTTGGAGAATTAACATAGTAGAAATATAGTGGTTCACCACATCGAGAGCTCGGCTAATCCACTTTTCAATGGAGATTCTTGTTCTTTCCTTCACTATTTATTATACCAAAAGGTTTACAGAATGTAAGATATGATATTAGGGTTCTGGCCCTCTGTTGGGGGCGTTACATAGTATTTATAGGATTTTTCCTAATTTTGCGAGATTCACCCCAAGATCTTCGTCATTTATCCGAAGAATTCTCTTTGATCTTAGGAGGAGATCTTTTCTGGATGAGAGTTTTATGCTTCGATTATGACTCTTTGTTGCCTCTAGGGTTTCTGTTAACAAATAGCTATCTCTTTATTACTTCCGCTGCTGCTTCGATTGGGCTGGGCTTTACTCTGATTTTATGAGCTCTGTGCGTCTGGCCTCCGCTCTCGAGCTCAAAGTTGGGAATTGCTCTAAGTATCATCAGTTGCCCCCCAGCCCTTGGTCAAGCTGGCCTGGGCAAGGGCTGAACTTAAGATGTAGCATAATGATTTCCTAATCAGCGACTTCGAAGTTTGCACGAGAATTTTTTTTTTTTTGGCATGTAGGTGCTCTTGACCTGAACCTACTTGAACTGATGAGGGTGGAACAAATGACCCAAGCTGAGCCCATGTCTTTTCCAGATCTCATGACGCTAGATAATCTATTCTTGTTTAGCGCCGCTACAGCTGAACGAGACTTTCCCGTTTTTCCTGAATCTAATCTCTCTTATACCGGGTTTGATGAGAGCGAGGATGCTGGGACTCATATCAAGAAATGCAAGAGGGATGGTTCATCCTTTCCTTCATCCAGATCTTTCTTGGGGGAAGTTCTGTTTTTCTCTACTAAGCAAAAATTAATGGATCTACTGTCAATGACTGAGAAGGAGAGGGATGAGCTGAAGGAGGAGAACCTGCGTTTGAAAGAGAGGATAGCCGAACTACAGAGACAACTAGGAATTTTACTTTGATTAATTTTTTTTGTAATCTTTGATGTTCTTGAAACCTTGATTTTTCCTTTCCATGTTTCCCGCTTCTAACACACAATTTGTGGCTTTGAGAATTTGGCAGCTGATCTTCCATGTCGTTTCCTGGCTTGTGGACCAAAGACCCCCATTTTTACTTTTTGTAATGGATAGAAACTTTGAAGCTTTCCTTCTACTCTATGTGCTGCAGGTCTTGCTTTTAGTTCTTCTAGATCGGGAAGCACATTCTGAGCTGTTGTGTTTGCTTCAGGGACAAAAGAACTCGTCCTGAGCTACTGAGCTATTTTTATGGACTGATAAGTTCAACGTGAGCTCCAGGGCTCTTTTTATGAACTAACGAGTTTGTCATAAGCTCCATGGTTCTTTTTATGAACTAACGAGTTCATCGTGAACTCTAAAGCTCTTTTTATGAACTAACTACAGAGCTTTTTTTATTACCTAACGAGTTCATCGTGAGCTCTAAGGCTCTTATTACAGACTAATGAGTTCGTCGTGAGCTCCAGGGCTCTTTTTATGAACTAACGAGTTCATCGTGAGCTCTAAGGCTATTATTACGGACTAACGAGTTCGTCGTGAGTTTCAGGGCTCTTTTTATGAACTAACGAGTTTGTAGTGAGATTCAGGGCTCTTTTTATGAACTAACGAGTTTATCGTGAGCTCTATGACTTTTTTTATGAACTAATGAGTTCATTGTGAGCTCTAAGGCTTTTATTACGGACTAATGAGTTTGTTGTGAGCTCCGGAGCTCTTATTACGAACTAATGAGTTCGTCGCGAGCTCTAGGGCTCTTTTTATGAACTAACGAGTTCATCGTGAGCTCCAAAGCTCTTTTTAAGAACTAACGAGTTCATCGTGATCTCTAAGGCTCTTATTACGGACTAATGAGTTCGTCGTGAGCTCCAAGGCTCTTTTTGTGAATTAATGAGTTTATCGTGAGCTCTAAGGCTCTTATTACGGACTAATGAGTTTGTCGTGAGCTCTCGGGCTCTTTTTATGAACTAACGAGTTCGTCGTGAGCTCTAGGGCTCTTTTTATGAACTAACGAGTTCATCGTGAACTCTAGGGCTCTTTCATGAACTAATGAGTTCATCGTGAGCTCTAAGGCTTTTATTACGGACTAATTAGTTCGTCGTGAGCTCTGGGGCTCTTATTACGAACTAATGAGTTTATCGTGAGCTTCAGGGCTCTTTTTATGAACTAATGAGTTCAGCGTGAGCTCTAAGGCTCTTATTATGGGCTAATGGGTTCGCTGTGAGCTCCAAGACTCTTTTTATGAACTAACGAGTTCATCGTGAGCTGTAAGGCTCTTATTATGGACTAATGAGTTCGTCGTGAGCTCCTGAGCTCTTTTTATGTACTAACAAGTTCATTGTGAGCTCTAAGGCTCTTAATACAGACTAATGAGTTCGTCGTGAGCTCCCGGGCTCTTTTTATGAACTAACAAGTTCATTGTGAGCTCTAAGGCTCTTATTACAGACTAATGAGTTCGTTGTGAGCTCCCGGGCTCTTCGTAAGAGTGAATGAACCATAGACTTGCTGCTTTATTAATAATCATATTACAGGACAAACTTACTGAAAAAATTTCCTAAGATGTTTTGCATTCCAAGAGCGGAGTAAAATTTTCATCGGGTCTACTTTTCATCTGGGGTGTCACCTTAGGAATTTTTTGTTTTGTACCTCATACAAGATTTGCGAAATTGGTGCGGTGAGTGGAGGGACCTGCCGAGGTGTGTTACCTCAACTGCAACTCTGGATGAGGTGGTCCCAAGTGATCTCTGACGTCCCCCCTTCTTTTGGGGGATCGATCTCTGTCTCTCCTTGGGGACCTATCTCATCCTTTTTTCTCTTCTGGGGCTTTGGTCCCTCTTTTTCTCTTCTTTCCCTTTATCTTTTTGTATGGATGAGCTCCCCACTTTTGAACGGAGAGCTTCTTCGCCGTTTATGTACTTTTCTGCCTTGGCCAGTACTTCGGCCATGCTGGCCTGGGAATTTTTCAAAATAGAGAATATCAGGTCTTTAGATTGTACGCCTAAACCAGCTATGAATGCAGTAATGACAAATTTCTCGTCTGAAACATCCACTTTTAGTGATTCAGAATTGAACCTCTGAACATAGGATCTGAGGTTCTCTTGGGGTCCTTGCTTCACATTCAACAGGTGGTAACTCGGCTTTCTGTACATTTGAGCTCCTATGAAGTGAGATACAAAGGATATAGATAGCTCTTTAAAGGAGAAAATTGAGGTAGGGGGAGCCTATTGAACCACGCTAGGGCTGAGCCTTTCAGTGTGATGGCAAAGGCTTTGCAGCGTACTAGATCCTGGTATCCATGCAACTCCATCTGGTTCTTGTAAGTGTTGAGGTGATCTACGGGATCCTTTGTTCCATCAAAAGCCTCTATCTGCGGTACTCTGAATTTCAGAGGGAGGGAAAAATACAGCACGCCAGTGGTGAACGGAGATTCAGTCTGTTGTACCAAGGCATCCATCGTAACTGGAGCCTTGCCTCTCACGGCTTTCTTCATGTGGCTGAGTTCTTGCTGGAGACCCTGGAAACGCTGCTCCCAGTACCGTTCTCTCCTTTCCTGTTGATAGGGGAAAAAATCGTTCTTCTCACCCCCGTCATTCTGACTTTGTACTTCTTCGTTATGTCCATTCCTAGGGGGTATGCGAGGTTCTGGCCCCATAGTTTGGCTATTTTCCTCTTCTTTGTTGACTTCCCTGAGGGGGTCGAGGTGTGGTTGCTCCCTAGGTGGTGGGTTGTTCTGGCCTTCTTGAGCTTGTCGCGCTTCCTGTGGGTGTTGTAAGAGCTTTAAGAGTTTTTTGTTTTGTTTCAACAAGGGTTAATTGACGAGGTGAAGAGCCTCCATCTCGTTATTCATGGGGAGACCCCCCACGGGTGGATTGGTCTCTTGAACGTTCTCAGGTTGTCTGCTATTAGTAGTTTCTTGTTGATCTTGTATCCGTTGTGGATTTGTCTGACTTCGGCTCATGTTTCGCATTGATACCATTAGTCACTGAAAGATCAGTTGATTTATAACAGGAACAGTCGTTTCCCACAAACGACGCCAAACTGATAGTTTATTTCAGCGTGATATAATTTTGTGATGACGAGTTAATAAAATAAATAATATTGGAATTATTGGGATCTGAGCTACTAAACTCGAGGGAATGATACTGAGAATTGTTGTGGAATTGGGGAATTAACACAGTAGAAATATAGTGGTTCACCAGTTCGAGAGCTCGGCTAATTCACTCTTCAATGAAGATTTTTGCTCTTTCCTTCACTATTTACTATATCAAAAGGTTTACAGAATATAAGATGTGATACTAAGGTTCTGCCCCTCTGTTGGGGGCGTTGCATAATATTTATAAGGCTTTTCCTAATTCTGCGGGATCCACCCCGAGATCTTTGCCATTTATCCGAGAAATCCTCCTTACTCTTAGGAAGAGATCTTTCTTGGATGAGAGTTTTATGCTTCGATTATGACTCTTTACTGTCTCTAGGGTTTCTGTTGACAAATAGTTATCTCTTTATTACTTCCGCTGCTGCTTCGATTGGGCGGTGCTTTACTCTGATTTTATGAGCTCCGAGCTCTGTGTGTCTGACCTCCACTGCCAAGCTTATACTTAAGAATTGCTCTAAGTATCATCACCTCCTTTACAATTTACTATTCCTGGAAAGTGTCTTTACGGTAAATGTGGAGCATCAAACTGTGAAGTGCCTAGTAATCCTTTTGTCTTTTCATTCTCGTATCATTTTCTTGTCCTGTCTTCATTTTGCCATTTAAGCCCACCATTTACCATCTTGAGTCCATAATCAATGCCCGCCCCCCCCCCCCCCCCCCCCAAAAAAAAAAAAAAAATCTCTTTCTGTCTCCTCCGTTACTGATTTTCTATTTAGATGTCGGTGGGAGGCATTGGACGAGTTTGTGTGAGATCAGATATTGATGAGAAGACAACGACTATGTTTACCCAACGAAGCTCTAGTAAAAGAGAAGGAGGAGGCACCAAATCGAGGTTCACCGGAAATTGCAGCACTTTCAGGCTGCCCAAAAGATCAGAATTGTCACCTATGAAATATCTCAAACACGTTGGTCACAAGATGGCGGCAGCTCTGCGATTGGTGTCGAGGCGGAGGAGAGGGTCTCCAAAAGTTTCCTCCTCACAAAAGGCAAAGACATGCGTTGCTCCAGTTGATTCTCACAGGGCTGAAGCCATAGATGATTGCATTGAGTTCATTAACTCATCTTCTTCCTTGCAAAGATCCAATTCAGTTTCTTGTTAGATTTTGTTGCAATAAATATGAGATGAAGTTCTTGTTCGATCGGCAAGTACGGTGCTAAAAATTGTACTCCCTCCACCTTGTATATGTTCTTGGATTAGAATTCAGAAATAACAGTCCCTTAAATTTCTTATTATGCCAGTGAAAAAAGTCCACAGGTTGTGGTTTCAAGATAACTTAGATATGCACAGCCATGTATAATCACCTGTGGCGGACAATTCAAAGTTCTCATATAACACTTGAATTTGGTATCTCGAGATAGTAATATTGAAGCTTTCCAATTCAAGCTACCTGACGGGGGTTATCTTTTTTATTTTTTTGGTTGTAGAAATGGTGTCTGTCATTGCTTAATACATGGAAAAGTTGGGAAAAAGCATTCTTTTTTTTCATCTAGTTTGCATCACCGAGTCATTTTGATGCTTTTATTATACCGGCTTATCTGATGGGCTATTAATACCCTAGTCTATGCAATGGTTGTTAGATCTAATTTCCTTGTATTAAAAAAGTTTTTAGTGCTATGGTTGGTGTGATCTGAGTATCAGGCAAGTCTCTCTCTCTCTCTCTCTCTCTCAAGTTTCTTGGGAAGATTCAGGCTGAAGCAGTAGTGCTTCTCAAGCATGATCAGTAGAATAGGTATCAAAGTAATAATTATCAGTTTACAGCTACACTAGTAATGTTTACTCTTCTTCCGGGCAATTGCTTTCATCACATCAAACCAAATTTTGTGAGACTTTCCAACCTTGTTGGCCTTGGTTGCTGTACATACATCTTACTATTTTCAAATGCACTGGTGACAAGAATTTCGTACAGTCAGTCGGCCATAAGGGTACTGAAGTTGGTGTTCAATTCTTGGACATAGCATATGGTCTTGTTCCCGAATCTGGTGATGTGCATAGTTGTCTTGGCCTTCTCGTACCAGGTAGGCTAGGCTTGGCTGCCAGCCATGAAGAGGATAGGTGTCGGTGATGAGTCCGCGTCGTGTATTCAGGTGACAAAGACCCTTGTCTGTCCTTGGTGTTGGTTTATTGTCACCTACCTAAACGTCCATTACATTTTGGATGTTTATACATAGGATTGCTATGATATTGTCATTTTTCCCTATGATGTGTTTTCTAATTGCACTGTTTCTTTAAAATGTGCTCGAATATATAGAATAAATCAGAGAGTTAGGGCAAAGTACTAGTGTTCTGACAATCTGTGGAAAATTTTATATACAATAAAACCAGCATGTGTGTGAACTACATAAACTTTTATCCTCATCTTTGATATTTCTCGAGGACAGAGATGTTAATCGAACCCCGAGTCTTCTTTGTTTTGGTATGCTCAAGTTCAATATCGTTTTTTCAAACTTGTTTTTGTAGCTCAAACTCAGCTCGATCAGCTTCTAGATATACTCAAATTCGACCCAACTCTATTCATTTTTTTCAGTCTGAGCTAGAATTCAATGATTGATTCGTTTAACGGTTATACTTTAGCCACATCTTCCTGATATAACTGGTTGCTAATCATTGTAGCAAGGAATGTTGGGCACACCAAGCTTATTCATAAATGAGCAAACATTGATTAGGCACAACCACCTATCACCAGTGGGAATAACATAGGGGCCGTTTGGGATTTCCACTACAGAATGCATTCTCTTAATTTATTGGTTTTCACACTGTCTTCTTTAGTTTATGACATTATCTACAATTATTAAGCTGTAACTTGTTATAGAATATACTATAGATTCCCTCACAACTCACAAGGACACCAGTTAGTTGGTCCTAGCTCTCAGGCAGCTTCTATGGTTTCTCACTCAACATACCAAAACAATGGCAATTATGAAACCATTTTCCAATTAAACAAAATATCTTCCTCGTTATATTTTACTCAATTTCACTCTGTCGTGAATCATGTATAATAAATTCAAGTGAGACTCTATTAAGAAGATTTTTTTTTTTTAAATTCAAATAATTTTTAAAACTTTTCTTTTTCAAATTTTTTCCTATATAAATGTTTATTTTATAATTATTATATTTATCAATCAACCAAACATTTCTATAATAAAAAAATAATACAAGCTTGAAATTTAAAAAAAAAAAAAATTATAAAACAATAAAACCTAATTCATTGTTGCTACCCACAAAATTGAGAAATCATATATGGGTTCTACCCTAACATTACCTATTTAAAAAATAGAGAAAATTAGTGGATTAATGTCTTGTGTCTTTAGTGAATGAAAAGAGAATTGCGGTCATTGATGAGCCCAGATCTAGTTGGGTCCAAATCCAATTAATGAGGTAGGTCCAAATTAACTAAAAGGCAGGTCAAGTCCAGTTCATAGCCTTAGCCCAGTTCAAGATTCAAGGGACCCAAGAAATTAGCGCACGTGGAGAGCAATTATCGGGATAGTCACTATCAAAGATCAAAACTATTTCTAATTGTATCTTTTCGTAATTTTAGTTATCTTCCCCGAAAAACTAGTAACCTACCTTTCATGACCACCGCCTCAGCTAAGGTTTGGTGTAAGGGACATACCTATTGATCTCTACATCTCTCACACATAGCTATCTCTCTCATAGCTACCTCATCTACCTAAAGCTTGCCCTTGCTCTCTCTCTCTCTCTCTCTCTCTCTCTCTCCCACTTACTACTTTATAAATAAAATTTTTTGGCCATTGTTTCTGTCTTCAATGGTTAGGTCACCTCGGTCCAACCACCCATTCTTTGTCTTTTGCTATTAATTTCTTCATTAATTGCCCTGCATCGTATACTTGATTGTTGATTGTACATCGCCTATTTTGTGCATCATCAGTTTGACGTCGTCTGTGAGAAATGACTAACTTTTCTACTACCTTTCTAGTTTCTTTCAAATCCATGGCCATCACAACCAGATCGATGAATCAACAACCCGAAAACAATGACCTGGCTAGTCGAAAAGGGGCTTCGCCTCCGCCTCCACCAGCAAAACCATTTACTGCGTCGAATCCTGTGGTCATTGCGACAAATCCTGTGGTCGGGCAATAGCTTTTAGAGACCATGTAGTTCTTGGTGAGCCAAAACCAGCAAATTCTCTAACTAATGTTTGCCTTAAGAGGCGTTATCCCCTAATAAGTAGTAGGAGCTGCACTCACTCTAATAGGAGAGGACCCACACCCTTTCCCCATAGGGCAACAAGGTGCCCCCATGCAACGCCCAAGCACCCTTCACTAGGGAGTCCCCACTCAGCGCCTAGGCGTCTCGCATGCTCCTCCTCCTCAGGTACTTGTTCTACCTCCATACACTATCGACTATCTAGAGCAAGAGGATGAGGGGGAAAACCAGTATGCGCATCATAAGAGATACTAACATAAACCAACAGAGGGTGTCCCTAACCAGTGGGATAGAAAGATTAAGGGGGTGCAAAACCAGATTGACAATACCCTCAACGCCATCAAGGCACAAGCACCAGAAATGGTGGACTACCTAGTAAGGCGCACTCACATTCATTTTGTGGCAGATGTTGTCAACTAATCTCCCTCAAAATTCATTTTAGGGCTGTTGGCAACAAACCCTGCCCCAAAATTACCAAATTGGTTATGTTAGAGAAGCCTGCATGGGAAACATGCCTGCATAGCCATGCTTGATTGGACACAATCAGTAGGCTAATTGAAAACCCATGCATGGTTGAGTGAGGCAGCACATGCATGAGCACATGATCATAAGAAAGCATGAAAGCAAGGTAGCCAAGTGGTTTGAATTATGGGAAAATGCTAGTCTGTAGGACTAAGCCATGGGTTGGGCATGGCTAGACACGAATGCAAGACAATCAGATGTTAAGGACTCATGAGAAAGGCACATGCACAACATGTGAGGATGTTATGGCATGTGCCCCGCAGATGGCGATAGTTTTGTGCAGTTGCTGGTAGGTACACAACATGTAGGAGTCTCTGTCATGTGTACACAACATGCAGGCAGTTGTTGGCTGTGTCAGCCACCAGTTGCAACTTCCTCTGCCATGACCAACATAATAAAGGGAGTGGTTGAAGGTGTTAGTCAGTATCAGCAAACTTGTGGGGCGGATTTGAATTGTTATGTAGTTGTCTAGGCGGTTGGGCTTGTAACTACCACCTTAAATATTATAAATAGGCATGTCTGGGTCTGCAGTGCAACCAAGAGAGTTGGACACATTTTTGTAAGTAGACCCAAAACTGGGTTTCCTTATACTTTGTTAAGAAAGAAAGGTTTGGCCAATTGGCCTGTAAAGCTTGTGTGTTATGTGTATGTTTACTTACTGTCCCTACTCTATTCATGTGTGCATTCTGTGAGCATTTTAAGTACTTAGATTAGACTGAGTGTAGGATCTCAGTTCCATCACAAGGCAAAAATTTGGTGAGAAATTAACCTTGTGACAATTGGTATCAGAGCTTCAATTTACGACCATGGCTAGTGGAAACGCTACTGAATTGTGAGAATGTGTGACCCATCCCAAAGATTTTTTGGGCGCCCTTGAAAGTGATGTTGCAATCATGGTGGTTGTGCAGATGGAGCAAAACGCTATTCAGATTGCTGGTTTATAGATGGCTTTTGATAACTATGTAGCCAACACCGATGCAAAGCTTACAATGATAATGGAGGACATTTTGTCCCTCACAGATGCTGTCAAAACCAATCTAAAGGTCTTAAAGACCAAATGTCCCTGGTGAAGAAGGCCATGAATTCTCGACCTACTGTGGGCGAGACATCTTCAAAAATCAAAGTCCCAGAACCAAAGGCCTTTAAAGGCACTCAAAGCGCCAAGGATCTAGAGAATTTCTTATGGGACATGGAGCAGTACTTCAAAGCTGCCCATGTGCCTGATGTAGAAAAGGTGACAATTATCAGTATGTATCTTTCTGGTGACGCTAAGTTATGGTGGAAAACCTGGAACGAGGACAATGTATCTGTTGGGCGTGCAAAGATCGAAACATGGGAGACCCTAAAAAAGGAGTTGAAGGATCAATTCCTCCCTAGCAGTACGACATGGATTGCTAGTGATTCACTCAA